GAAAACAAGAGTAACAAAACTACTACTACTACTACTACTACTACCACTACTACCACTACTACCACTACTACCACTACTAGCACTACTACCACTACTACTACTACTACTACTACCACTACTACTACTACCTAACTAACTAACTAACTAACTAACGAACGAACGAACGAACGAACTAACTAACTAACTAACTTGCATAGCCCTTGTTATGCTAATCACGTGGAGGTTTTTCAGTGCACGACGAGGTGTCGGGGGTGGTGCACGGCCACTCTAGATGTGGCTTCAACTCTTGACTATGTTGGTGCAAGAAACTCATGCGTAAGCAGAGCTCAGATCGCTGAAAAACTTGTGTTCAACTATTCAATGGCAATCCATGCAATTCAAAAACAGTCCCAGAAATCTGGATTTATGTTTTAGAAATCCAGAAACACATGTTCACATATTACTTTTGGGTTTTCCAGCCCTTGGAGTGGGGCGGGACTGGGGCGGGAGTGGGGCGGGACTGGGGGTGGGCGGGAGTGGGGCGGGACTGGGGCGGGAGCCATCAAAGGCATCCACAGCCATCACAGCCATCCACACGGTTATTGACAAAAACGGTTATTTACAAAAACGTCGTTTTTGTAAATATACCTTCTTGTATTGCCAAGCCATGGTGGTCGACTGTGAGTGGTTGGTGCCACCCACGCGGGCCACACCCCGCGACATAGAATTCATAGGCTTTTGATTTTCTAGCGTTAACGCTGTTACGCCCGTACCAAGTCATGATTGTTGTTGTTCATGAATTATAACCCCCTTCTCACCCCCTCCTCCTCTCCCCTCCTGCCCTCCTCCCCATGCACAGCAGAGTTTAAATATTATTGAATTATTGACATTGAATCTAGCGCCTGCTAAGGCCATGGCCTATGGACCTATGTTTCGATGCTAATGCTATACCCGCATTTCTCGCTTCATGCCCCCGCCCGGGTGAATAGACAGAAGAAGCACCACGCCACCATCACCGATCGCCAATTATCGTCAAATCAACCCTGTCAGCTTTCAAAAAGGGGAAGAGGTCGGGAAGAGGTCGGGGACACATTTTGCAAGAAGTCCCTCTCCATAATGCTAAGACACGTGGACAAGTATGGAAAACAATAATTAAATCAATTTATTGAAATTTGCATTTTTAATTTGTTTTAAATATTTTTTCCACGTGTCTTCGCATTATGGAGAGGGACTTCTTGCAAAATGTGTCCCCGACCTCTTCCCGACCTCTTCGAGAGCTGACAGGGTTGATTTGGCGATAATTGGCGATCGGCGATCGGTGATAGTTATTTTATTTTATACTGCTACTTGTTTATTAACATTGTTTGCTCCTCTCATGTCCTGTGCTCTCACGCGCCTCGACCGCCGCGTGTTTTGAACTTGGGGTGCTCCATGGGCGCAATTCCTGTGGACGCGCAGGTCGGAACCAAGCCAGCACATCAACTTTAGGACATTCATGCTGGGCCTTGGCTAACCCCCCACGAAGGGCCTCGTTGGGCCAGGCTGGCGTGGTTCGAGATGTCGAAGGGGTGTCCTGGCGCGGGCGGGGGGGCTCATTAAAGAAGGACATCCCTTCTAGAAGGACACCCCTTCGCCCTCCCTACCCACCCTGCTTGAGCACAGGCCGTTCACCATGCTCACTTCATGCTCTTTACAAACAAAGTGCTATGAACGAGTTCACAGCTTCCTTGTTTGCTCCTCTCATGTCCTGTGCTCTCACGTGCCTCGACCGCCGCGTGTTTTGAACTTGGGGTGCTCCATGGGCGCAATTCCTGTGGACGCGCAGGTCCATGGAACCAAGCCAGCGACAGCAATTTTAGGACATTCACGCTGGGCCTTGGCTAACCCCACTTAAGAGCACTGCATGAAGAACTCACGCCACCAAATATCTTTGTTTCCCCTTTCAGACATCCACATCTACTTGGGACCACTGTACACACAGTTGGCATGCGCCTGCCTTAATTAATTCCTCTATCTCCGCCCTAGATGGTGCATCAGCCGGATTTGAAGCCGAGGGCGCTCAGGCCGACCATAAGAACAAACTGCGAGCAAGCACAACTTTGTTTAACTCCTTAAGGAGAGCGTTGTGCAAGAGGATGGGGCTGAACATGTTACCCAATTCAAGGGAGGCGATGATTTTCTTTGATCGCGACTGCCACTTTGACAAGAGGCTGGGTGGAAAGACATCTGAAAAAAAACATTTTTCACAGGCAACACCGCCCACAACATGAACAGCAACCATGCCAATTCCCCTACAAGTGTCGGACCCTTCTAGCGATGCATCCGTGAAAATCACTAAACGTGAACTGTCCATATCGCACCTTAGTGTTCGCGGCCGGTTGCTTTGCAGAGCCCATTCGAGTTCTAGCCTTAGTGCAGCATTGATGCTCTCCCCGGCATCTTTACCTGTGGCTCTGTTCTGAAAGGCTCGCAGGTTTGAAGACAGGATTCGACTGAACGTGTGTGCCTCAGCAAATTGCAACTTTCCTCTCAAGGAGGAAGCTGCTTTGGGTGGAAACGACCCTTTCTGAAGGATCGATTCAATCTCAGCGGACACTTGTAGCACTCTAGAGGCCTTGTTACGAACAACAACTTCACCGAATTTACACTGGGCGAAATCAAACGTAACTCCCAGCGCATCGAAGGTGAAGTCAGAGTCAAAGGGTCTGCGCTTGCTTTCCTTCTGCGAAAACTTGAAACCCAACAGGTCAAGCCGTCACTTGCGAGTCGTTCTGAGAGGCCGCCAAATCGAGCTGCGGGTAATCATCAAAATAGTTGGACCAAACCAAACCAAACAATCGCTCATGTATTGCTCGATCCGATTGGAGGCAAACACGGACGCAGTGGCTCCGAACGGTAGTACCTTAGAAATGAATAAGCGTCGAGCCCCTTGCAAGTCTTCCACTGCCAGGACAGCCGTCCAACGCGACGACTTTGCAACTAACAACTGTTTGTACGCAGCATCAAGGTCTAAGGTCCGTCCACTTAGCTGGTTGGCCTCCTGTCGGCTCCAAGACGCACGCAAATGACCGTTCAACCTGGAACCATCACTCAAGAGCAATTCTACCTGTCCGTCACTTTTTACCGCATCTAGAAAAGTCCTAGCCAAAACTGCAACTCCGTCGATACCACTCAGGTCTAGCTTATAGGAGGGTGCAAAAGCAGAGTTTACCAAAGATTCCGACATGTCATCGATGGCACGGATTTTGTCAATTTGCTCCAAACCAAAACGTCTGGACACTACAAAACGAAGTCCCAAGATGCGAGCAACTTCTTCCTCCGAGTACGGGCCCTCAAGCCAGCCCCTGCCCGCTTCTTCTAGTGCGCCTTCCCAATGGTCTTACGGACGTTGTCAGTACAATCGTATGGACTTTTAGACATGATTGATTTCCGGCTCCACCTCGTGCTCCTCATGAGTTGGACGTCATTTAGGGCAGCCGTGTTTTCCTCATGGTCGAATTGGCCTGTGGGCTCGCCTGAGCCAGTCAATTTAACCCCATGGACCAGGGTATCAACCAAGTGCTCATCATCCACTCCTGCGTCTGCGGCCATGACTTTGAAGAGGAGAAACTGCTTGTCTCTCAACAAATCAGAACAATCAGTCTAAAGCCCGGTGTATCTGGTCCTCTCTACCCTCAAGAGACATCCTAATTTGCTCATAATGTTGAAAAACTAGTTCCCTCTTCCGAGCAATTGCTTCTCGTCCCTGGGTTAGGATGTCAAACATTGCTCGTTTCGCTCCATCAGACACTGTCGAATTACCATCAAATGGGTGTTTGACCTTCAAGGCTTCATTCAAAAACTGTGTTGGCGAACGCCAAACTCCGACTTTAAGTTGGGGATCTGTCGATTTGACAGTGAAGACCTTAGTGGTTGACGAAGCTGATTTGAGTTGTTTCAGTTTCACATTTTCTGCATCAACATTGCTTTCATCAGCATCGGATCTAGCCTTGGCATTCCCCCTTTCGGGCGGCAAGATCTTACTATTGATGGGAAGGAACATTGTATTTATGCGCAAACCATGAAGGGGTGTTACCGGAAGACACTTCCTCACTGGTTGGCACGGTCAGGGCCTGCAAAAATTCGGGAATGATTTGGGGCATCAAATTGCCGCGTGGTTGGCGACCGGCTTCAGCGGCCCGAATTTTGGCCTGGAAGAACCGTGGCAACGATGCTAGAAATGCGCTGGCGCAAGAGTTCCGGATATTCCGCCTCTTGCGCAGTACTGAAAACCCACTTGTCCCCTTCCTGGGCGACCCCCCATGGCAGGTGGTCGTGGCTCCTGTCACAGGTCAAGGCTAGCTCTTGGAACAGCATGTGATTTACATAGAAGCATGACCATTTGTCTCTCTGGCCTCCGCGCATGCACTGCTGGAAATGAACAGGGGTTAGATTGCACTCGGAAATAAGAGACTGGAACCAAGACGAAAGCCACATATAGGAGCGGCTAGGGTTTTTGAATGGAGATGAGTGCAGAGGAAGCAAAATGCTTGACAATCTTACACACGTTCTGGTAAATTGCATTGGCAGTAGCCACACGCTCGGCATCAAGTCCAAGCAACTCCGGTAGGCCCTGAGGCCAACGTTCGGACCTAGGTGGCTTAGGGTCTGGCGCGCCTTGAGCCTTGAGCGCGTAGACGGAAAGGGATCCTGCGATTTCGAGCTCGACTGCAAGTTCCACATGGGGGAGCTGCGTGTATATAAACCACCATGTCTGGGCTCTCCAACATGCTTAGCAATTGCACTAAGCAGTCATCATTCGCCAAATCTAGGTTAATCGTGGGGTGTAGAGCTTGATGACGATTCTTCGAATGGTCAATGGACATAGTGCAGAACCCTTTGCTCTTCAGACAGCGGGATAGTCTGGCGCAGCCAGCGCACAACTCTATGCAAATAGCTGATGAGCTGGGCGTACCAGTGTAAGAAAACTCTCTCAGGCTTTTTGCCTGCTCAGCTGCCGCCAAGGGCGGGTTGCCATGCTGTCACTTTCCAGGACGCTGTTTCTGGCTGTGAGCCTCATTGCACCCAGGCCTCATGCAGGTGTGGTATCCTTCCGGACACTTGTCACCAGGCTTCGCCTTGGAACATCCGCTCAAATTGAAATCAAAGCAGATTGGTTCACCGGCTTCGGTAGTCGGACTCATTCCAATGAGAGGCATACGAATGAGCTTGTTCTTTGTCTTTCCTTTTCCACGTCCCTTGCCAGCACTACCTCCACTCTGGAGATTCTTGATCTGTCCCTGCAGGTTCTGGATCTGACGTTTCAGCCGTTCTTCGTTGTCACTGGAAGCTGCCTTCAGCTTCTTCACCTTGTTGGCATCCTCATCATGAGACTCACGCTGCCTTGTTGAACCTTGTAGCGGTTGCAGGCAGAGGCGAACTTCCGGGGCAACGATGGCCTGCTGCAAAGCTGTCTTCATAGGCTGAATTCCACTCAGCACTTTGACGCCACCCCTTGCGCTCCTCATCATATGCTTGAAGAGCTCCAAGTCGGCGCGGTGCACTTGCTCTAAGCTGATTCTGCCGTAGCCACTTGGAGGAGATGACGTGTAGGCCTCAATGAGTATCTGGGTCCACTTTTTGAAATCCTCATAATCAACCAACCTTGACTGGTCGAAGGCCAACGAGCGCCTCTGCAAGGCCAAGCGCAGCTTCAAGTCTGTGGTGAAGTCTGCCTTCATATCTTCAGCCCACCGGACCTCCTTGACGACGCCGTTCGAATCTGGACGCCAGATTGGGTCAGTTTTGAAACCCATCAGCTCCTGGTCACGTTTTGCGCAATCCTCCCACTTGACATACCTCAACTGACCCTCCTCCGCCATCTGGTAGACCGTGTCGATCAAGCGGTGTGACTCAACTCTAATCCTTTCAACCGTCTCACCTGGTCGGTATAGCGAGCTGACCTCTCTGCTTGGGCGAGCGCCCTTGGAGCATCATCGTTTCGTTTTTTTAGACGAAACTTCAAATTCGCTGCTGCGTACGAGTACGCTTCGAAGACAAGCCTGCCCACCACTGCCATGCGATCTGCTGGCGCAGGGTCAATCCCCACAATGGAGGCAGCCAGCGACCTTAGTGGTGCGTCGTCCGCTTGCCCTGGCACATAGTTTGCAGCAAAAGCTAGCCTTCCGAAGGTGTTGTAGTTCAGGACCTTTAACTGAGCTAGCTCTGCCGTGGAGATGCCTATGGCGGTCGCCCGGTCCTCGAAATCAGCCTCCGAGTCCAACATGACAGGACTGCTTGAGCCGACGACGCTACATTAACATAGTCTGTCCTTCAAAAATCAACATAATAAGGTTCTGAAACCTCTCATGACAGCGCGGACGCTGCAACACGACACTGTGGTACACCCCACAGTTACATACAACATATCCGTGCGCAACCTCGTCACGATGTGTGCCCACACTGGCGCTCCTCCACATCTTGCCTTGTTCGCTTGCACACCTGACAGAACGGCGCAAGGAGAGGGATAAGAACATTGAGGATACAGCCTAGCCTGCACCCATACCACCAAAACAAGTGCTTGCCGGCTCATGACTGTTCCACATCAACATGGCACGACGGCTTTAGGAGGAGGCCTCTTTTGCCTTTCATATTGAAGTTGCCAAGTCATCCACATTCTCGTCTTGACCCCCCCTTACACCAAGGGATCATTGCTGGCTATAAAAATTTGGGCTGCCTATACATTCATATTTCCCCAGCTGTGGCTGCAATGGGGCCATGGCTTGTCAGGATCTAACCTGACAAACATTTCACTCAGTACACGACCACACGCAGTCCTGCCACTGTCGTCTTTATGCTCAAAGTGGAGGCACTTTGCCCTCTTGCGGCGATAAACCATTTCCATGATTGCATGGCTCGAAACACCTCGAGGACGCCGTTGGCCCATGTTGTCAGCTGCAACCTTTGCAACTACACTTTCAACTGAAGATGACCCGGAGTCTGACTCACACGACTGGTCGTTCTCGATCTCCGTTAAAACGGTCTCTTCGTCACACCTTCCGGCAACTTTTGGGCCCTTGCCCTCGCCCATGCTAGTGTCTTCCTGGCAAAGCAAGTCCCACAACACCTGAAGGTCCGAGTTGCCAGCAGGTCCCAGCATTTCATCCACTGACTCCTCAAGGAAAAGCTCACAAATAGACGAGAGGTTGCATCCAGCGCTGCTTTCCAAATGGCCAAGCGAACTTTTCCAATCTGCGGGGAGTTCTTCGCCTCTCACAGCATCTGGACAAAAAGACCCAACTTTAATCTTATCCAAGAGGAGGGTCAAGAAACGAATCGGGTCAGCAAGGGCGTCTCTTTGGTAGTTCAAAGCGCTCTTGCGCTGTGTCAATTGGTATCCCAACAACTCACTGTACGTGTAGTCGCATCCATGCTTTTGTAGGTATGTCAGCAATGTGGATTTCAAACTGTGGCTTGTGTAGTCGCACAGCTCCTCACGACTGAAGACTTTACCAAGAATCCTGCGCAGGCCCTCCGTCACTTCTGCACTATCGATCTTGGAGTAAAAGTCCCAATGAATGGTGGACTCTGATGGCAATACACCAAAGCTCTCATTTGATGCACGCGACTCCAGGGAGGGAATGTTGTCCAACTCCAATGTGGCTCTGTTTAGCGCAAAAGCTTGAAACCATCTTTTTCCCAAGACGCCCATGGCAGGCGCTACCACCGGCAGAAACGTGCACTGCTTTTCCTTAGACCTAGCAGTCTTCACTTTCATCAGCGACCCTTCCACATAGTTTCCCAACAATGAGCAGTGTACCAGCCTGTTGAGATCGGACACTCTTAGGCGACCATACACGCAAAAGAGAATGAAACCAGCCAACGCACGCAGAAACTTGTCTTTCTCACAAAAAGATGCCAGTTCCAAGACACACAACACGTTAACGGTCAGTGCTGGAGCTTGTTTCAACGGCTTCTTGTGAAGGTACATGTCCAATGTTGCTCCTTTACATCTTGCAGAGGTCGTGCATTCAACAGCACCCTTCATAATCAAAATATTTCCAGCAAATTGCAGCGAGCTCAAGAACGTTGTGCCTCTCGTTGCTGACGGCAAGGTGCTTCTCAAATGACATAAGTATTCATCGCAGCACTCCTCCGAAAAAGGCAGAAACTCCTCACCTGGGTAAGAGCTGAGCAACCATTTGACATACAACATCAAGGATGACACTCTAATCTTCAAAGTGCTCGTTGACTTACCGCCCAAGGCATCCGACACTATCTGAAACCCCAGGGCTGACTGGGAGTCTGCAGCATCATTGCCCAGCAGCTGATTTCCAACCCTTGAGTGCTGGGGACACCGGATCACAAGTTCAGCCCATTGCAAGAGAACTCGAGTCCTCTCAACATCATCATGACGGTGAGCCGCTACATGCATATGGTAACGTATTCTCTGTCTCTTGGCTGGCAAGTCGTCGCAAGAAGAAGTCTTATCTAAATTGGACTGCAGCGGCGGTAACACGCGTGGAATTTCAGGCACGTCCAACCAAGGGAGAACAGATGCCCCCATCACAAGGCTGGTGAATGGTGATTGTTCCCATGGCATCCTAATCGTGGGATTCTTTGTCCCTAGATCCAACGCCCCTCGCAATGCAACATCCACATTACGTGGCTTGGATTCATCAACATTCTTGTGAGAGGGGGCAGGCAACATCAACCTAGATGAAACCCCCTTTCTCATTAAAGAAGGACATCCCTTCTAGAAGGACAACCCTTCGCCCTCCCTACCCACCCTGCTTGAGCACAGGCCGTTCACCATGCTCACTTCATGCTCTTTACAAACAAAGTGCTATGAACGAGTTCACAGCTTCCATTACTAGAACCATACACAATTGACAAAAATTGCCACACACCAGACCACAGACCAGGAAATGCACCAGTTTTACAGCCTGAAAGCACCAGTTTTCATTTTGATATGTTTAGCAGCATTATAGGGGCTTACCAATAACTAACTAACTAAACAAACTAACTAAGCAACTAACTAACTAACTAACTAACTAACTACTACTGCTGCTACTACTACCTACTACTACTGCTACTACTACTACCACGGCTACGACTACTGCTAGTACTACTACTACTACCACCACTGCTACGACTACTACTTGTACTACTACTACTACTACTACTACTACTAATACTACTATTACTACTACTACGACTACTACGACTACTACGACTACTACTACCACGACTACGACTACGACTACTACTGCTACTACTACTGCTACTACTACGACTACGACTACGACTACGACTACGACTACGACACGACGACGACTAGTACTACTACTACGACTACTAGGACTACGACGACTAGGACTTCGACGACTACGACGACTACTACGACGACAACGACTACTACTACTACTACTACTGCTACTGCTGCTGCTCCTGCTACTGCTACTGCCACTACCACTACCACTACGACTACTACTGCTGCTGCTACTGCTACTACTACTACTACTACTACTCCTACTCCTACTCCTACTCCTACTACTACTGCTACTGCTACTGCTACTGCTTCTTTTACATTACTACTACTAGTGCTACTACTACTGCTACTACTACTACTACGACTACGACTACGACTACGACTAATACGACTACTACGACTACTACAACTACAACTACTACGACTACTACTACTACTACGACTACTACTGCTACTGCTTCTACTACTGCTACTACTACTACTCCTACTACTGCTACTACTACTACTACTGCTACTACTACTAGTACTACAATTTATGAAAGGAAACATACAGGAGTTCAAAACACCAATGAAACAATCGGTGATGAAATCGTTCGAAGAATCTCAACACAAAAAGAAAAGAGTCCATTCCAAAAGTACGGTTACCAAACTGACACAGAGCTTGTTTTTCATTAACTTGAATGAATCTGCTATTAACAGCCAAAACGCAAAAACAACATCTATTGCAGTTGTGGGTCTTTCATTTGTCGCTACAGTCGCAACCTCAGCAACCGCAGCTGGGGCTTTGCAAGTAGCTCATCAGACAGTGAACTTTTCAAGAAACGAATGTTTCTCCTTTGATTCGTTTTGACTCTCTGACTGTGCTTGCCAATGCTCGGCTTCGGGCAACATCCCCGCCCGCAATGTAGAGCGAGCGGCGGTAATTAATTGAACTCCCCAAAGAAGGCACTGGGAACTTGGAACCTCGACAACTCTGCAAGAGAAGCAACAAAACCAAAGGTTCATCACTCCACCAAAACAGTCACATCACACATTTGGGTTTACTTGAGCTTTGTGCTCGAAAGGCTCTGGCCTACTCCACCTTTACGCAAGTCGAACTGCCGCAACTCCTTTCAAGGATGCAATGTCACGAAAGTAGAATGTGTTCCTAAAAATGTAGATGTCCAAATACGATGTTTCCGTTTGTGTTATGAATTCCCATTCTCATATGGTTCATATCTCACAGGTCCTCATCAACTCCAGAGACGAGAAGCCGCGAATCATCGGGCGCAAAGCTGCACCTCACCAAGTCTAGATCATCGTCTTTCCATTCTGTTCCGCAAAATGTCTCCAGAAGAACAGCTTTGTTTCCTTTTGAGAAAGCATCCTTTCTGATGCTCCCTCACTGAGCGGATGACATCACCTGAGGCAGAGCAATTCTTTGTTCAAACGACACGGAAGCCAGAATCATACCAAGCCTCAAGAACATTCACCAATCCGGACCAACACATATTGAAAACAACATATCAAAACACAAAAACCAAGGCTGCGTCAAGGAAAAATAGTTGTAGGAAGAATAGAAAGAGATTGAGATTTGAGAAAGTTCAAGTGGCGAAGGACACGTTGTCCACCTGAGCCCCCGACGTTGAGCGTATTGCCCGCACAGCTGAGGATGGGCTTGTCCGCACACAGACCAGGGTCTCGGAGGTCCCAGACCTGGCGCTTGGCGCTTCATTGCGTCCTGAAGACGAATTGATCAAAAAAGCTCCCCCCTCCCTATATACTTAATTAATCTCGGTGCCTACTTGATTAAGAAAGGAGACGTAGCTACTAGCTGCAAGTGGACGCTACTACCTAGGACGCAGGATAGCGCTCGCACTAATGATCTGGATTCTAGATTTTGAGGGAAACTTAAGGGTGGCCATCGCTACTAGGGAGGTCATCGCTACTAGGGTGGAGGCGATCGGGCCATCGCTATTAGGTTGGAGGCCATTACCACTAGTAGCAAGAAGTTGTTTAGTTCTGTTCTCTCTCTTGTTATCCTTTTGCCCAGGGGTTAGGTCGCTAGTAGGCTTAAGTAAACCGACAAGCAAAGGGTAACTACTAAGCTTAAGAAGCTACTACCTAGGACGCAGAAAGGTACAGGCTTAAGTTCCTAGATTTGGGTGCATCGAGCTCCTGTTTTGCGCTTCCCGTTCCCGTTCCCCAAGATTCAAAACGAAGCTGTGGCAAAGGTTTGGCATGTGAGTACTCATGTGTCTGCCTTGCAGGTGTGGTCAAAAGAAGCTGTGGCAAACAGTTGGGGCCTCAATATGCGCAATGACACCTGCGTTTAAGTTGTTTAAGCAACCAATGTGCCAAGCTCCTGACGTCCTGTGTGAAAAGCCTCAGCCGCCAAATCAACAGGCTCTGCATTGACATGAAAAAGAAACAAAGTTCGTAGCTGTGTTTGCTTTTCAGCCACGGCACGCAGGATATTTATAAAGTTCTGATGGAGGTTCCTGAATGTTTTGATGCGACGTCCTGCAGAATGAAATGAAAGTTGCATGACACAATACATGAAGCCGTATTGCTTCGCAGTAGCATTGGGTGCAATGGCTGTAGCAGTCCAGTGATGACATCATAGAGGCCAACATCAATGCAGAAGCCGCTGGTCATGAAAAAGTCATCTGTACCTTTTCACTCATCGCGTTGAGACGAAGACAACACCCGCGGGATCTGCACAATTGTTCGAGAATCAAGACGGATTTGTTTTGAAACAGCGATACTGCAATTGACAATGGCACAACTCATGGACAATGACGACAAGTGCTGGAACGGCTCCAGCTCAACACCTGAGTGATTCTGATTGATATGTTTGAGCTTCTTGAACCAATGAATGTCTTCAGTCTGGGCTGTCATGGTCCTGCGCTTCTCGAACTGCTCTCCAAGGCACTGTGCATTGTCCCTGGATGACCCTCATCGTACCGCAAGAAGCGAATGACACCAGCTTGGGAACCTTTCACGTTGAAAAAATTGTCTGTCAATGATGCTCCACTTTCAACAGCACGCTCATTGTCAGGTCCACGGTGGGTCAAGCTTGAATGATCAGAGCTGTTCTCTTTGCTCATTGTGACGTAAACATCAAACTTTCATCAAAACCACACGGCGAACAGAACAGAAAGAAGACACACTGGAGCATACGTATGCAAAGTATCGCTTTTCAGTGGATTACAGTAAATTTGTACTGAGCTTGCTTGTCTTGTGTCTTCCCTCGCCTCCAACCGCTGCCCATTGCGGCAGCGTGTGGAACCAAGATAATCCAAGAATGGGAAATTGGTCGACAGCCTCATCCACCGGCCATCGGACGTTCGACAAGTATCCAGATTCCATCGGCAAAAGTGCTGCACACGGATCAGTGGGACAAGTCGATGGGCTTCACACACAAGAGTGAGTCATCTCATCTGAATTATAGTCGATTA